CGGGGCACCCACGGTGGCACGACGGCCACACCCACCTTTAGGCATTTATTTAGTTGTTTAACCCCCAAAATATCAGAGTTTTTGTGGACTAACAGTTTTCCTGGAGGACTTTAACTGGAGCCTTTAAACATAAGAGGAGCATTTTGTTGGAGTTGGAACTGTTCTCTGCACCAAAAGCACTTCATGTTTATCATCTGTTTAAACTTTTCCTGCTTTCTAATAAAGATTGTTATTTTTACTCACCTTTATGAACTCAAAAGTATTAGTTTAGATCTAAGAATTAAAGTTTGGTGGAAAAGTTCTTCATCAGGCCCTAATTTATTTTTGCCCTAAAGAACTTTAATTGTTCATGCTTTGGGGCTTTTTTGTGGATATTGGCAGATTCATGTGTTTTTCTTTAAGCATCTTAACTATGAACCACTCAGGCAGAAAAAAAAAGGCCTTAACTCAAGGGATGAGCCAGTGTTGGGTCCAACTAAGCAAAGCAGCAGTTTCTTTAAGCTCTTTGTTAGCAGCAGTCACAAAGACACATTATTTGTTCAACATGTCTCTATCTGATGTGTGAAAAAGGTCAAAGATAACACAGTTTGACGGACAGGAAACAGGATTTCTGATTATTCCCAAAGAGCTGCTAGCTGAAAACTTGGCATATCTCAGCATAGTGAGCAGTGTGTTCCTAAACATTTGAGGAAAATGGACAAGTGATGGACAAAATAAAAAGATTTGGGCCTAAAAAACTATCTCCAGCAGATGAGGATCTGAAAGTCAACTCCTTAAGAAAGAAGAACAAATCCAGACCTGAACCAGGAGCTGAGAGATGCTTATGGACCTTCAGCTGATCCATCTCTTGTTGGACCAAGCCTAAAATGACTGATACTGTCATGAACGATACTTGGACTGTGTGTATTAAAAAAGGAGATTTTCGGTTCCAGCTTTTGGATAAACAAGATCTTTTTGGACAATATAAAAAATCGATGTTATTAAATCTCCCCACCCTTTTGTCTTATCAGCCCATCATTTCCTCTGACATTAAAAGAGCAGTTTGTACAAAATGTGAAACTTCAAACTCAACAAGATTACCTGAACTCCAAACAACAGATATGAATCTGACAGTACAAAGATACAGACTTAAAAAATGTTCCTTTACACCATCTCATTAGTTTTTGACTTTTTACACTTCCTATCTTTTTATTAAATTAAATTCAGATGGAGGAGAGAAGGATGAACCCTTTGAAGAGTCTGGTGTGCTTTCTGTGTGGAAAAGATAATAAATAATCTCCCACTCCATAGTGGGTACATTTATTCTCACAAGAATCAGAAAATGTGTTGGTCAGGAAGCAGAACACAGTTTTCTCTGAGTGGGTGTTGCCGTTCCTCCAATTATCAAAATATGTTTTAAGGAGATGATTTTGGGGCTAAATGAGGAATTTACAATGCAAAGCATAATCTGACTGAGATTAATTATCCTCAATCAGGTGTTAAGGGTTTCAATTTGTGCCTCCAGATGGGCAGCCCCACAGTCTTCCTGAACCCTGTGTGACAGGCATGTGATAGGTGTGATAGGTGAATCTCCTGGCTATTGTTCCTAAAAGGGCTATGTGTGTAGGTGACAGGTTGTGTCTAAGACCACCTCCTCTGTTGAGTGATGTTTTTCCAGGTTAAAAAAGATGGCTTTCTTAACCCCTCTCTAAAACCATATTTTTTCCTTGGCCAATATGTAGATGTTGTTGTCCTCAAACGAGTGTCTTTTAGCCTTTAGGTGTTGGTGAAAAGTCCTGAGGAGTTGGCCCTCCTGTGTTGAGACATGCGCCTGTGTAGGGGTTGTTTGGTATCCCCAATGTATAGGTCTTCACTACACTAAACAGTGTAAATCACGTTGTCCGACTTGTTTTTGTCTTTGGGATAAACTAGTTTTAGTTTCAGGGTGTTGCTGGGTTGGAAGGGCACAGGGATCCAGTGCTGGCTGACAATCATTCTGAGTTTTTCAGAGACCAACGAATGACAATGTTTCTTCCTCTGTTTTCTGACCTCTCAGCAGGCCTCTTGTTGGATTTTTAAAAAACCCAGGGCTGTCCCGACATGTCCCTCATCTCTCGTATTCCCTCTGTTTACTGGTGGGGATCATTTTCTGCCGTAGAATTCTTAAATTTAAAATATTTTTATATAGTTATTTATTAATGGCCTCCAGAATGCTAAAGTCCTCTAAACCTCTCAACCTTTTGCAACTTTGATCGTTCAAAATGTATATATAATACAATATAATAAAGTTGACTTTTTATTGATCATCCTCTAAAGGGGACCCAATGTGCTGTGCAGCTCTGCAGTTCGATAGTTTTTATTCTGGGACACATAAAGCAGCTTTGCATGATGCAGATCCATCCATTCTCAGCCACTTATCTGAGGTTAAGTCCCAAAGGCATGGGGCTCAGTAGGGAAACCCAATCTTCCCGCTGACCAGTGAAGCTTCCCAGGCTAGGAAAGATGAGTTTTAAATGCACAGTTTACGAAAAAACATGGCCAATAATTAACCCCAAACTTCCTCTGGCTGAACCAATTTAACAGTCAAATGAGTCATTAGCCATTTGCCTGGTGGTCTGTGTGACATTTCCAGGCACTTTTGGACCACTTTGCACATGGATGCATGAGTTTAAGGTGGGTCAAGGCCACAGCAGATAGATTATCTGGTGGGAGTGAGACGGCTGTGCGGTCTGATGGACATCAATGGATGCTTTAATGGATGGATGGACGTGGTATATTTTAAACAGATGGATTTACAGATCAATGCTGAGATTGCATCGAGAGCATGGCCTGAACGAGTCCACATCTATCACCATGTTTGCATTTCTGATATGTATTTAGCTTTTGTTTCCCCCACAAACTGCATTTAAACATAACACATTATACATTTGTTTGTAAAGAGCTCACAGTTGGATGTTTCCCAGCAGAGGTCTTTGCTCTCAACCTGGTTCCTGAGTTTAAAAAGCAGAATTGGAGACAGAGCCTTCAGGTATTAGGTGCCTGTCGTGCACTCTTTGACCACACAATGATGTTTGTGTGCACTGAAAATGTTAGAATAATGGTACATAAGTTATCATGCATTCTCTGAATTACATATGTGTGTGTGTATGTAAAGGTTTAACTGGGCTTGTGTGATAGCAAGAAAGGGCTGTCATAAGCACAAGTTGTTTTGCATATAATGGTGTCTGCTGACTACAGTAGTGACCCTTGAGACCACACTCCTTTTTGGCCGCTGAAACAGAGGAACAACTGCACTTTGTTCCTCCTGTCACATCAGCTGTCTTCCTGTTCCTGTAATCAATGTGTAATCAAACATGTGTGCTCCTTCTGTCTTTAGAGAAGATGAAGTCACAAAGCTGTGATAGGGTGGAACCAAATAAATGGAGAGGGGAGCAGGGAGAGAGGTCAGAGTAGGTTGGAGAGTGTAAGGTCTCCGCCACTCTCCTCGCAAGTGTTCACTGTACTTACTGTGTCTGTGTCTGTTTGTCCTGTTACAGCAGTGAATTCAGAAGTGTTTAGGGGCACAACCCTGGCAGAAAACTTTGTGAATTCTGCAAACCAAGTGGCTGTAAGGCCTTAAAGCCCCCAAAAGGCCTCATCCACCCTTCTCTAATGTCAGGATCCAGAAACCTTACTGACTTCTGGCCCCAACCGGATGAAAAACAAGTTACTTTTCTTCCAAAAATCAGTTTTTTTGTCCTTTTAGCGCACAAAACTTCATGGAATATAATCCAAGGTAACAAAATAAATGTTGTCAAATAACTAAATCTAACCATCTTTTGACATTTTGAACGGTTACAAACACTAAATAGAGAAGCAACTTATTATTTTTTAAAATCTTTTTTCAAATAAAAATAAATGTATTCTTATATTTTTTTATTCGGCAGCTATCAGTTCAGGAGCATCCATTCAAACTTTACCAAAGTTCACTGTTTAAGTCAAAGTTTTTTCCTTGAAATGCTCACACGAATGCTTTAAAAGTCCGTGTCCTTCCTGTCCCTCACACACACACACACACACACACACACACACACACACATTCAGCTCAAAAGTCTGCACAAACATCAGGGTTTCAGCCAGAAAAGGAGAAGTTCTTCCAAATAGGGGACTTTATTCGAATGTAAAAAGTCAAGTTTATGTGAGACGGGAAGGTTTAAGACCAATTCCTACCCTTTTGAAAGTGCTCTTTAGTTTAGGTGAAAACGTCCACATTTTTAAAGCTCCAAATGTCTGCAATAAAGGGGAACATTAACATGCTCATGGTGCTGGCTTGCTGCCTATCTGAGGAACTCCCTGATGTGACAGGCACCTCCTCTTTTCTCCTCACAGCTGTGCGCTTTTTCACAGCCCTGCATTTAACTCCAGAGGTCAGCAGCCTGGACGGGTGGGTTTTCTGGAGGCTTGAG